TTAAAATTTCATTTTCACAGCCATGTTGATTACGTTTTTTCCAAATGCATAATGCTTTTAGGTCTCATTCCCTCTATAGTCTGCAGATCTCCCTCCATGGAGTGTTTGTATGTATTATACTTAAGTTTAGTCAAGTCACAGTTGGAACATGCCTCAGTATTTTTGAACACATTCACGTCCACTGATGCCAGTCAGCTTGAGCGCACCCAGCAGAAGGTTTGTTCCGTCAATTTTTACATTTCTTTCCCCTAATATCCCATATCCTTGCATCATTGCCTTAGAGGAATTAAGTCTACAAACTTTATCTAAAAGGTGTCATCACATTGATGCATTTTATTCTTGCTCAGGTCTATCGTGACCTTTAAAACTGCTCTTCCATTTTGGAAATTGTTAGACTTCTTATTCCTCCGAGCAATCACAAGGAATTCTCATTGCTTGCTGTTTGTCCCTCTAATAAACACTGTCCTTTTGTTAGGTGCGCCTCTGCTGCCAATGCGGGGGGTAAATATCTCGACATATTTGCAATCGAACCGTCTCTCTGTATCACATTTATACTCATAAAACTAAAATCGTTAATAAAATTTGTTCACAATTCTAATATTTTGTGTTATGCAGTTCTGAGTTATTAGGTTCATCTTACCTCTCTGCAACTTCGATTGTTTGTTTACTTTTCTGTATTAATGTACTTTTTCCTCCAGTTCTTGTTGGTAAATTGTCTTTCTTAATGTGGTTACCTGTATCCTCTCTGTGCTGTGTATGAAGTTGGCCTTGTAGCTGTTGACTCGACACATAAATAACAAAGAATTTAATCATCATCATCATTTTGTCATCATCAGTTTCAGATTTTGCACCAGTACTACAAAAAGAAGCCACATGATCGTTAGACAACCACGACATCCACAACCACAGTCGCTCCGTAAATCGACTTGGCCGATGTGACAACAGAAGACGGCACAATCGCGCTGGTTTGGTGCGCTACTGCAACACATCAATGATATGGAGACTTCTTCACACAGCCTGCACTCTAAATGGAGCACTGATCTTCCAATTTCTCGCATTGTTATGTGCATTTAATATCACTGATAAAGAACTTCACAGGATTATATTACAATTTATTTTTCATAATTCTGTATTGACAATTCTAATGCCATTTGTAACATTCTTCAGTCTGTGAATAAATATGTGAACCTTGATGAATGCTCTATAAATTTTACCCGAAAGCTAATTATATTATTTGTTATACCAATAGCCCAGACCCATCTCCTTATAGATTCCTAATCCGTTCGGTCCTGGGTTCGATCAAATGAAATTACTTTTAATGTTTCCGTTTTAATTTATACAATTACATTTTCCTGTGCTGTAGATGCTTAGACTTAAAGAGTCATTAAATGGCAGGAAAATATTATCTTCACTGACAAATCCGCACACGTGAAATGAAGACATATATAAAATTTCGAAGACCGATCTCAGTCAACCTGCGCAATGCACCTCAACTGCTCGAACACTGAGATCGTGGATTCGAATCCCACTAGAAGAATTGAGGTAGATCTGCGTTTTTCTCCGTATTTGCTTCTCTTTTATGTACTCGAACCCGGACCGACGCGGTCGGAAGCCGTGGACTAACCGCTTGAGCTATGGTGCGGCCAAACAAAGATATAAAGTAGGAAGATATAAATACATAGATAAACAATGGAAGGCAGAAAGAAAGAAAGAAGGAAAAGAAGCAATAGGAAGTAAGGAAAGCAGAATGCGATGTCCGAAGAACCTTGAAAATGTTGCTGAGTCACTTAGAATGCCGTGTCCCAATTCTCCTATCTTATGAATAAGAAATTGGTGCACGTAAAGATACGAGGAGTACTTCTGTTTGTGATAGAGCGGCCTCGTGATATTAAAGTAGTTTCTGCTTTATAGTTTCTTGGTGTGGGGTGAGACTGAATCCACTTGGTACGTCGGCCAGTAATTCACCAATTGTACCAGCACTGGATGATAGATTATGAATGTGGATCAACAGTGGTATGAGAATTAGCAGGGGAAATTGAACAACTTGCAGAAAAGCGGCCCAGTACCTCTTTGTCCACAATAAATCCCACATGGCTTGACCTGGGCTCGAACTGGTCCACCGCAGTGGGAAGCATGACTTGATATTAAAATAACACATGACTAAATAATGAGTCAAGCAGTCAAAATGTTGACTGGTCGAAATGACCAGTCAAATGACCAAACCAAATGACCACTCAATCCCTATTAGCGCCAAGGTTAAGAGCGCGCGAATGTACACCTCCATTCCTCAAACGTCGTCATGACGTGAAGCTTAATTAGAGCAGGGACAACCTTAGTTCATTCTATTTATGCCTCTACAGCCCTTTGTTGGACCTTGGCCGCTGTTTCAGTTTCGTGATCTCGTTACACACCTGGTAGGACTCCTTGGACGAGGGATCAGCCCGTCGCCAGGGGGTTAGCTACACACAGGACGACGCAAACTCGGAATAAATTCACACAGACATCCAAGCATCAAGTGGGACTCGAACCCACGATCCCATTATTTGAGCGGAGGAAGACAGTTCATGCCTTAGACCGCGTGGCCAATGTGTTTAGCGAACATTGGTTCTGCTACCAATTAAAGAATGCTTGCGCTCTTTAGATAGCAAAACTGCTTATAAGCAAGAATGAAGCATATTTGTGGTATAACCTTGTGGGAATATACAGTCTGCAAACAGTGGAACGTAACCCCACAGATATGAGAACCTTAACTTCTGGCGGAGTGAAAACATAAGTCTTTTGGGCAGCAAATATAATTTCATAAAATAGTGACACAATAGTGTACGTATGATTTCCTTTGAAGAGCCAGTTATCCGATGAATTGTTCACCCAGCACATAAAATTTCTCAGATAAACAATTACTGGCCGGTCACGGTAGACGAGCGTTCTAAGGCATGTACTGTTTTCGCCAGGTCGGAGTGCAGGATCGTGGGTTCGAATCCCATACAAGGTGTATGTGTTTGATATGTGTATAAGTTTATTCTGTGTTTGTGTTGTCCTGTGTTTAAGTAGAGGCCTTGAGACGAGTAGATCACTCGCCCAAAGAGTCCTACCAACTATAAAATGATCATGAGACTGTAACATCAGAAGCCAGGGCGCCAGGGGGCTGTAGAGTCAGCGAAAGAAAAAATACAATAACTGAATAACAGGCTTTGTGTGAAGTATCTGCCCGCTGGTAAAATTTCTTAAGTGGTAATTCTGATGAATGCGCTTGGAAGAATAATCTACATGCCAGTGGGTCCAAACACAGAACAAAACATCATACAAGGTTTCCTGACAAATATTTTGAAAACTGGGCAAGAATAAATTAAGGTCACTTAGAAATGTCAGTAAAAAGTATACACTACAAAAAGGAAAACAAATAATATTTGCACACACGATGAAATTATAAGCAAGCGAGAACATATGTTGCACACGCATATAAACGGCAAGTAAATTATTACTCTATAGGACTTTTTAATATTCAAGACTTAAATATATTAAAACTTCAAAAAATAAAAATTGTATGTCGTTATGGGACAGCGCCTTTGACTGTTGTCATGCTAATATCGATTAGATCAACAATAAGAAAAACATATATCCAGAAGAGCCAGTGTCGATTAAATCGTTCCTCCTTCTGTAACGATTATGTCACTATCTGTGACTATAGGCAGTTTTCCTTTTCTGATATAGTCGAATATCTACGCAGGCGAGAAATATAAATAAAATATTTATTGTTTCCGTCAACACAGTATTTCTTTAAGAGGTATACAAATGATTATTTACATAGAAGTCATAAGGCACGATATGTTCCGACATTTATTGGGTAATCATCTGGTGTCGTTTTGAGCTTTTCACGGAGCTGACTATGAGGAGAGCAGTCTTCTGGGAGGTGGCGCCGTGTAGATATCGTGTTAACCGACGTTTCGAGAGAAGGTATTGCATGAAGATGGAGGCCATACTTCCTTCCTAAACTTCGGTAACGCAATATCTACAGGGCGCCACATCCCAGGAGACAGGTCTCTACATCATCTGATGTCGTTTATTATTATGTTGCTGAATTTTTACAGAATATGAATCCATATTTTGAGTCAACTGTATGCTATATAATATCAATAAATGTAAATATAAATATTGTCATGTACGATGGCTTTGCGTGAGTAATAATAACGGTTCCTGGATTCGGTGATTGGCTTCATTTTCACTTCTTTTACAATTAAAAGCAATTTTAAACAGCTCACAATCAATGACTATCTAAAACTCGCTCCATTCTTACCGGACTACGAATGTCTTCTGTTTCACTGTGACGAATGACGAATGAAGGAACCCTGCCCACCCATTGAACTCCCACGCAAATCCGAAAAACTGAACCCTCCTGAGATGAACTAACTTCCAGGCGAACCGAATATATGTCACCATATCGTACTGTTCCTCTGTTATTTTATTTTTCTGTGTTCAAATTTTTCCATGGGAAAGAGTTAACCGAACCGTTGTCTAGCAATGGACTATTCCGGCTTTCAGGCATCATGTGAAAATACACGTATAAATATTTCATAGAAAAATAATTCGGATGAAAATATGTCAATTCATACCAAATTTTTAGACAACTCTATTAAACTTCGCTGATAACATTGTAATGGTTAGAAAGTTGGCACTAAAAGGAAAATTGAGCCCCATTTATTTACGCTTTCAGAAAGATTTACATATAACACTTTTAAATTCTTCTTCTTTAGTCATACGTGTCCATTAAAACCGAAAAACCTTCACAAAACCTTGAAGACTAACCGATACTTGGAAGTTAACTATTCTATTGTGGGAAAAGAAGATATTTTCACAAATTTCAACTACGGTATATGGTTTCGGTTATCTTGCATCAGTAATATTGTTCGAAATTATCAAGCATGTGACACAAATAAAGGGTATTATACTTTGTATGTTGCCTATATAAGACACGGCTCCAGTACTACTGACTATACTCGTTCTTACCTGGCAGAATAAGTCTATTATAGAAACATGGGACATCGATTCTTGCTTCTCTTCGTGGTGGTGGCAACCATTCTGCTGTCAATGGGTGAGTACAAACAAGTAACGCACAATCTCGTAGCGCGTGGGTTAATTTCACGAATGGAAATCTAAAAGCAATGTTAATAACTCTTTTCCCTTAAAACCACTCTACTGGGGGTATATCGTATGTCCCTTAACTTGGCAGCAAATATTAAGAGAAGAAGGGAGCGGTGGCTCAGAGCATTCAATTGAAATGGACGAAATAAGAGTGCCGAAGAAAATTTGTTAGAGCACGCCAGAACGCAGGAAAAAAGAGGGTAGTTCCAGATTGATATAATTGAATATGATGAAGAGCACGATTTACGAGAGCTATAAATGAAAACAAAATGCGGCAATTTGAATAACAATACATAAGTTTGGGTATACGTGTATATGAAAATCTGGGTTCGCAGAGAACGGCATCCCAGAAGGTTAAGCTACAAACAATGATTAGCTTAAGATTACGCACCTCTAGAATGTGAAGCCGTGTAAATTAGTAGATAGGTATCAAAATTACAGAGGAATGCCTTCCCTTTATCTCCAAGGTAGATGAGTCTCTTTCCTTCCTATTTTCCGCCCTGAAGTAGGTGGCAGGTTGCTCCTCCAAAACGTTGGAACCTCTCTAAGAAACAACACGGCGTCGCATTCAATAGGACAGAAACCCTCACGGTCACGTCTGTAAGAACATAAAATTTCACATCCTAGTAACGGAAACCACATATTCATCGCCGCTGTAACAGAAGTTCCCCATTCGATGCCATGATAAGCCAGTAGCATCCACTTCAGTTACTCCTAAATTATACAGCTCAGATCCAACTAATTATTATCCTCTCATGACCTTCGTAGTTTTCTAATTGGGCGTTTTCCGGTTTTCAGTATTACACTAAGTGGGACCGAAAAGATTGGTCTAGCAGGAACGTTTGGACATATACAGCAGGTTTCGCCGGTGACAGTGGCCGCGTGGTCTGAGGCACAAAGAGTCTTCGCCCACTCAAACACATGGATCGTGGTTTCGAATTCCACTCATGGAATGTGTGTGTGTGTGTGCATTCAATCTGTGTTTGTCGTATCCTGTTTGTTCAATTTGCGCCCACGCGACGGACTCATCCCCCATTCAAGGGGTGCTACCGACTGAGTAAAATCAAGAAATTGAGAAAACGGCCAAAGTCCGAAAAAGAGCTGTACAGCCATAGATTCAGGATATTTTAGGTTCTAATCAATTACGGGAAAAGGACTATTTGAAGGATCGCGGTATTCCTCAGTCGTTCCAGGAAAATGCCAGGAACCTCCCTTGATTAGACCACCACTGAACACTTCCAAATATTTCCAGTTCACCAGTCACTCCTTTAATCCGACGCTCTGTAATCTCGATACAGAGAGGATTGTGCAAGAACCCAGAGGACCCACATTAAGTGGCGCTCTTGTTACCACAGTGCTCTGCGTTCTCGAGAAGAAAGTCTTCAGACGTGGAGAATAGTTATGAATATACTGAATAGGCAGTCACGGACGCCCGACAAGGAATTGCCTTTTAGCTTGTGAGATTGGCCGTGAGATTAACAAGAATTCAAGGGTAAACTAAGGATTCAGAATTATATGGACTTTCAAATGGTACATGTGATAAAATTTTACCTTAAAATATCTCAAAATTTCTATCAGTGTTTTCTCATATTAACGACTAATGTTCATGTGACTGTTTGGCTGACCCTAGCCATTTCAATATCTGCTAAATGTAACAAATTTAAACTTGATTGTCTGAAGTTTACTGATTTCAAACAGCTGTTACTGATCCTATAAAATAAGGATTCTTTTATGTTAATTTTACGTTCATTCATAAATATTTGAATTGAGTTCAATAGATATTTAAGAACAAATATATTAATTTTTACTAATATACGTATACTTCGACCTCAACCCAAATACGTGTATTTCTACTTTAATTGGAGTTATGCCTGCACGGATCTGCCTCCGCTTTCTACAACCGAGTACGAATGCTCTGCTAGGCTGTAAATTTTTCAAAGACTCAGATTTGTGTATATGTTCTGTTGCTGGTGTAATGAAACAAGAAATTTCTTTTCTGTTTCAGGAGTGGAGGCAGACCGATTTGTGAGTTAAAATTTTAAGGCCTCTTTGGCCGCTACCAGCAACACTCACACTTCCTACACCTTTTCTATCCGAGGAAGCCTCCGACGAAGCGTGACTCAAGGACACTGTTGCCTGAATCTCCCCGGATTTTGTACAATCAACCGGCCTACTCAGAAACTGTGGCACGCCCGAAGAATTTGGGCTATTAACTGCGCACTTCTCTGTCTGTTCAGCCCAGTTGCACTTGTCTCGCAATTGAAATTTACATATCCAATCATATTTGTGAGACAACTACATGTCTCTATCTATGATGGATCGATCGGCAATTATTACTATTATTATTACTATTTTCGTAAATTTATTATTCTAAACTCAAGGAGGATGCTATATGCACCTCCCCGTCATCTTGTTACGTTGGAGCTGTTGACAGTATTAACATGCTTGACCTAATCTTTACAAATATGACGGGATCTCAAGTCTGTTCCTACCGACCCTGGATTGGTCACGCCCGATTCTCATCACATTCATCTGAGTACTGTTTACTTTCTATCCCATGTTAACAATAATTTCAGTTACGAGTTCAGGTATCGAATTTTCGCAGTAGGAAACTACGCGTTACTTTAGAATATTCTATCTATATATGGCTGTCCAAGCTGCCGTCGCAGTTGCCAGGGGCAGGCAATTCCTCGAGGTTATAGCTGCAAGTAAAAATTTCCTCCTTGGTTCTCCCTTAACTTATGGCATTACATCGTTAAGAAAAACTACGTATTTCCACCGTCGTTTTAAAAAGTATCCTCCCAATTAATTTTAGGACAAATTACCCTTTTACCGAACACTCATAAAACCGTATGTCTGACAGGCCTACACGGTAGAATTCAATTGAGAGCAATTCAAGTTAACAGCCCAAACATTTCTGGAAATAAATATTTTCTCGTAATTTCGGGAAATATATAAATGTTTCCATCCAGCTATAGCAAATGTAATCCAGCCTAATTCATTTGCTGATGCTTTCGCTAAGCACTTTCAGTCTGTTTACAATAACTGCTGCTCTATGTAATTTCTCCCTCTCTCACAATCTTCTGAATTTTTAATCCTTGTCCCCATTTCCGTTGCGGATGACTGAAAAGCCATTAAGAGACTAAAACCTCCAAAATATATTGAACTTGAAGATACCCCTGTTTTATCATAAAAGTTTGTTCGTGTATTATTATTCCCATTCTTATGCATATATTTAACTTGAGACTCACCCAGTAACATTTCCCTGCTGTAAGGAAAAAGCTGATTTTTTATATCCACATTTAAAACAAGCAATCATGGGGCTGTCAGCAACAGGAGATCCATTTCTCTTCTCCGTAATTTCACTAAGCTGTCTGATTTCATTTTTCATGATCACATTCTGCATTATGCTAATTTTAATTCCAATCAACATTACTTCATCAGAAATAAATCTACAATTACTCCTTTGGTGGCATTTCGTGGTTCTTTGATTTCTGTCGTCCGCGTTCATCGTGTAGCTGATGCTGTGTATTTTATATTTCAGATGCTTTGTCCTCGTCCCTCATAATATGATCTTGCATAAATTAACCTCCTTCGAATTCTCTGGTATTCCTGTTCTCTGGTTTCACAGTCACTTAAGCGACAGACAATTTCGGGATCGCGTTTCTGGCACTCTCTCCCTGCCTTTTCAAGTAAGGTCGGGTGTGCCACAAGGCTGTTATGGGGCCTTTACTTTTCAACTTATTCATTAATGATCTGTGCAACTCTATCAAATATTATAAACTATTACATTTTTCCGATGATATCAAAAACTTTCCGCGTCATTAACTCTTCACATTATTGCTTCTTACTCCAATCTGAACTTAATTCCGTCAGTGACTGGTGCAATGCCAACTCCATGAGAATTATTATTTCTAAAACGCGGGTTTTGTCATTTAACAGGAAAAATAAATTTCTGTGTTAGCTTTGCTATGCTACCGTTACACGCACCAGCAATATTAAGGAACTAGAAGTTTTCTTTCATTCAAAGTTTCATTTTCAGAGCCATGTTGCTTACGTTTTTTTCCAAATGCAATAAGATATTATGTCTCATTCTCTCTATAGTCTATAGATCTCCCTCCATGGAGTGTTGGTATGTATTGTACTTTACGTTAGTCAAGTCACAGTTGGAACATGCCTCAGTATACTTGAACACATTCACGTCCACTGATGCCAGTCAGCTTGAGCGCACCCAGCAGAAGGTTTGTTCCGTCAATTTTTACTTTCTTTACCTTAATATCCCATATCCTTACACCATTGCCTTAAAGGAATTAAGTCTACAATCTTTACCTAAACAGAGTCATCACATTGATGCATTTTATTCTTGCTCAGGTCTATTGTGGCCTTGAAACCTGCTCTTCCATTTTGGAAATTGTTAGACTTCTTATTCCTCCGGGAAATCACGGGGACTTCTCATTGCTTGGTGTTTGTCGTTCTAATAAACACTGTCCTTCTGCTCGGTGCGCCTCTGCTGCCAACGCGGTGGGTAAATATCTCGACATATTTGCAATCGCACCGTCTCTCTCTATCACATTTATACTCATCAACCTAAAATCGTTAATAAAATTTGTTCACAATTCCAATATTCAGTGTTATGCAGTTATCAGTTATTATGTTCTTCTTGCCTCTCTGCAGCTTTGTTTGTTTGTTTACTTTTCTGTATTAATGTGTTTCTTCCTCCAGTTCTTGTCTGTAAATTGTCTTTGTTAATGTGGCTACCTGTATCCTCTCTGTGCTGTGTCTGAAGTTGGCCTTGTAGCTTTGGACTTGGCACATAAATAACAAAGAATTGAATCATCATCATCATTTTGTCATCATCTGTTTCAGAATATTCCCAAGTTAGACAAAAAACGGAAGTCACTTGGTCGTTAGACAACCACGACATCCACAACCACAGTCGCTCCGTAAATCGACTTGGCCGATGTGACAACAGAAGACGGCACAATCGCGCTTGTTTGGTGCGCTACTGCAACACATCATTGATATGGAGACTTCTTCACACAGACTGCACTCTAAATGGAGCACTGATCTTCCAATTTCTTGCATTGTTATGTACATTTAATATCACTGATAAAGAACTTCACAGGAATTAAATAACAATTTATTTTACATAATTCTGTATTGACAATTCTAATGCCATTTGTAACATTCTTCAGTCTGTGAATAAATATATGAACCGTGATGACAGCTCTATAAATTTTACCCGAAAGCTAATTATACTATTTGTTATACCGAGGAACCAGATATATCTCCTTATATGTTCCTAATCCCTTCGGTCCTGTCTTCGATCCCCTAAGACTTCTTTTATTATTTCCGTATTAATTTTTACACTTACAATTTCCTGTGCTGCAGATGCTTAGACTTAACGAGTCAATAAATGGCAGGGTAATATTATCTTCACTGACAATTCCACACAGCAAAGATAAAAACTTATATCAAATTTCGAGAACCGATCTCAGTGACCGTGAGAAATATGGTAGGAAATGCGCCTCAACCAGCCGAACACTGAGATCGTGGATTCGAATCCCACTAGAAGCATTGAGGTATATTTACAATTTTCTCTGTATTTCTTTCTCGTGTACGTAGCCGCCTTGTGAGGGCTGATGCTCCCTCCAAAGTGTCCTAACATCTGTATGTAAGATTAAGCGTGTTCAGATAATTCTGTAATATTAACAGGGAAGAGGGTTCATCCACCAAAAGAAGAAGAAGAAGAAGAAAGGAGAAGCAATGTATCTCGTTCGTGTATGGAAAAACTTAGCACAGTAATCAACAGATTTTAGCGATCCGGTGATCGCTGACAGTATTTTGCTCCTCATATACTGGGATGAACGATCGTGAGTCAGCGGTTTTTGCTGTTTGGTCTTTTGTTGTGCAATGGTACAGTCGTTGCGTCTGTCTGTCCCCCCCCCCCACCGGAAGGATCTCTGTCGTTTGTGTCAAAAAGAATTTAGAAGAAAGTATTCTCTGCAAGAGAGTAGTCTCAGGTCTGTAATGTCAAGGGAGAGAACTGATCTGTTTCCTCTCATTTTCTAATTCTTTGTTTTATTGGTATGAACATAATATTATGGTCTTCTGTTTATGATACCCTGCTATTTTATAGGCGATTTTGGACTTTCCTCAGGAACGCGCTGATGACATGTTTAGAGCCGAAGATAGAATTAAATGAAGACTGTGTTTTATGTCATATACGAATTTTATATATGATGTACTATAGAAAATCGTAAACAGGATTGCTATAAGTTTTGATCATTGAGCCGTTCTTGAGAAACCTCCTCAAATTTGCTCAATAATTATGACGAAAACATTATTATCGACGTGACTTCCACATTATGCATTCATATTGGACAGATCTAGCGTTGATCGCACGGAAAACAACGTTGGTATATATAGAAAGGAACTTACATCTCATATTGTAAGAAATCTTATGAAGCTCTTCAGTTCATTTGTGGAAATTTCAGTTTTGTTTACACAACTTGAAACTGGCTTTGGGAAATCCTAGGTTCGATTCCCGGTAAAGGCAATATTTTTGCTTTCGTCAAGACACTCAGTGCCCGTTCTGAGACTTACTTAACCTCTTATCTTCGATCCTGAGTCTAGTCAAGTGGCATTTGTGGTGGACAAAGTGGCGCTGGGGCAGGTTTTCTCCGAGTACTTTGGTTTCCCTTGCCAATCTTCATTCCACCAATTGCTCTACAATCAATTGCTGGTACAATAGATCAGAAGTGGTGTCCGCAGTACAAGGGATTTAGTCTCATCCCACTAGCAATAAAAAACATAGCCTCTTATCCATTGGACAGGCTATTGATTACAGTCCTCTGTACATCAATGTCTTATGAGAAGGCAGTGATGCTGATGTAACAGTCTTTTGTACAAGCCGTCGCGACTTCATAAATTCAAGTCAAATTTCTGTACTGACCTGACATATCTTTGTGATCTGTCACTTGTTGCTACCTTCACGTGTATGTGGTGGCACTATGCATACAGCTGTTCTCTGTTGCATATTACCGAATTAGTATTATGCGCTGGTACTAGTTACAATGCTGCCCACTAGGTAATCTGAAACCGACTAGTGACGGTATAAAGTCGCACAATTTCCACGCAATTTTCGGAAGAAAAATTTTAGTAGCAAAAGTAAATTTTGTGTTATTTACGTTCTGTATCTCACAGTCCTGTAACAAGTATTTAGGATATTCTGATTATTTAGGGTTGAATTAACTAGGGAAACCTATAATCTATAATTAAGAGCCCTTCATACCGTAACCTACATACAGGAAGTAATAAGAAATATAAAAGTTTTGGCATTGTTGTGCCAAGGGACACACGTTTCTGCGCAATGCAACCACGGAAATCTGAATTCAAAAGGAATGTAGAAAAACGACTGATCAAGTCAGGATGAGGTGGGCAGGGCATGTAGCACGAGTTGGGGGAGAGGAGGAATGCATATAGGTTATTGGTGGGAAAGCCAGATGGAAAAAAAACCACTAGGAAGACCAAAGCGTAGATGTGTGGACAATACTAAATTGGATCTTAGAGAGATAGGATGGGATGGTATGGATTGGATTTATCTAATTCAGGATAGGGATCAGTGTAGTGTCATTGTGAACACGGCAATGAACCTTCGGTTTCCATAAAATACTGGGAAGCTTTTGAGTCAGCTGCACAATTGGCGGCTTCTTAAGAAGGGTTCAGCTCCATGAGTGAGTGAGATAGGACTGTAGAGAAGGCTTCCGAGATATAGCGCTGTGTAGTCTAGTGCAGTGTTCCGCAACCTTTTTCTACTCGCGGCACGCCATGAAGTATCAACCATGACTCAACACTGCACACCAA